GTCCTTTTTGTCCTATTAGTGACGGAAAAATTCAAAAACCATTCGCTAAATTCGTTATTAATTAGGAAAAAAGGACTAATATGGAACATTTTGAAAAGTTAAGGGACCAATATGTACCTTTTTAAAATTAAGGGTCCAAAATAGACTCCAAGATTAAGATACGAGATCAAAAAGAGTACTAAGCCTTAAAGTATTCAAAAATGCTTTAAGGGCAACTCTTTCACATGTGATAACTCTACTAACTCTAAGGGATGTCAATTTAACTCAATTTGTTCCAAATCCCCTTTGATTTCCAGAGCAACTTAGATAAAGCAAATCATTCATCGATTGTTGCCAATAAGGTTTTACCTAAATACTATTTGGCCAAACATTTCACACATTGCAAGAAAGTAAGGGAAAACACCTACGATACCCATGGCGCTAATGGGAGGGCGAGGAACCCTCACCACCCTGGCTTACTAAAATCACCCATCAATAAGGAAATCACCTCTTACGTTAGAATCGTAGAGCTTTCAAACTTTTGACTATAGCTTCCTAGCTCTCCCTCTTCCAATCCCTTTGTTGCCTCTTCTCTCCAAAATTCTAGTTACACGTATTGTCAACCTAGCCTTCTCTTAAACTTACTATTTATTTTACGGTAATTTTAAAATATTTGATTATTACACTTTTGGCCCAACTTTCTCAATTATTCCACCAAAACCCTTGAAATTTTTATTTTCTTATTATTTTGATTAAATAAAAATTCAATTGAATTAAATATTCCATAAAAATTCTCCAATTTTCTATTTTCTCATATGATCACTAAATGACTAAAATTATCTAATTATCTCTTATAATTCCAATAAATCTCATTTTATTTTTCTGCTTTCAAATCCTATAACCCCAATAATTATTAAATTACCAAAATACTCTAAGTATCAAATAACACAAATAATTCAAATATAGTGAATATCACACAATTAAATACGTCAATAATCAAATAAAATATTTAATTAAAAAATGGTGTGAAGGAAGCAAAGCATTGTGGGTTTGTCATCATGTAAGCCGAGTACGTGACTGCATCATATGCAATATGTCAAGCAGGATGGATAGAAATATTTCTCGAAGAGCTCAAGTTAATGGAACTTAGGAAAATGAAGTTGTTTGTCGATAACAAGTCAGCTATCGACCTGACGAATCATCCAATGCGTCATGGTCGAAGTAAACATATAGAGAGAAAGTAGCATCCGATGATGATTTTTATGCATTCTTTGCATCAATCATGTTAAACAATTCCAAAAGAATTGCATCAATAATATTAAAAAATCATGGTTCTCCACAGTTAAAACAAGTGAGGACACCTTTGCACCCAACGACAAATTATTTTTTTATATACGTAATGATTTGTGTCATAAATTTTGGGAGGTCAAATTTAATTTTTAATACAAGATACAAGATTAAGTCGCTCTTGTATGAGTACTTGAAAAAATATGCATTTATAGCGTACATTAATTTGTATGAATATAGTTAAAATATCCATAAATAGTCACACAAATAGTATGTAAAGATTTGTAACATGCTCATGAAGTCTCCTAGAAGGATGCCGTAAATAATCTCAAGCATTCTGAAATAATTATTTATTATTGTTTATAAATTTATGTATATATATCATTTATGATATAGTTTTCAAAGAATGAAAATAAAAATTTGAATATTTTGCATTTATACTTATTTAAAATATATTTGATCAAGGTTTACGAGATAATTATTTTTATTTGAAGAATTAATATTCATCGATAAATATTTGTGATTAACAAACTTATACGTTTTGTTTGAAAGATAGGTGAAAAAAGGGAAATTTTTTAATTATATGACAATTTTATTTTATTTGATAGAATTTACAATTTAATAGTGATTAAATTCTTCTAATATGATAATTATTCTATTTAACAATTTAATCTTGATTTTTGTTCTCATATTAGATGTAATTATATGTTAATATTTTTATTGTAAATATATTAAGATCGACAAATACTCATTTTATAATTGAATGCTATTAATTTGTGATTAACTTATTAAGATTGATAAAATTAATTGATTAATTTAATATTTATTCCATAATTAAATATTATAAATTTGTGACTAATTTATTAAGATTGACAAAAAGAAAAAAGCTTTGTTATTTTTTTCATTGTGTTTTATAAGAAAATAAACCATTAATATGTGAAGTGAATAATTAAAAACTAATTTTTATATATGCCGACTCATTTACGCCATCGTTTTTTTTCCACCTTCATCTTTATATGATTATAGATGTTACAAATCCTATTTTTTATAAATTAAATATATGGATTAAACATGTGAATTTATTCTTATGATATATATTTATTTATTTTTGACAATTTTATATTTTAAAGATAAATTTTTGTGGTGATTTGAGTGAATAAATTATTTTCTTTAAAATTTTACATTTTATATTATACATATACATTATTTTATTTTATTTCTAATTAACACATATTTACTTTATTTAATTTATAATTATATGTGCGTATATTATTTTAGAATATCTATTTTTATTTGAATTATAATCAATTTTAAATTATATTTTTTTCATATTGATTCAAATGAATTAGAATAATTGAGATATATGTATTATATAAACCATCCGTTTATATATATAATTGAAATATATGAATAAGTCTTTTTATAATTTTTTTTTATTTGTAATAATTTATATTGATTGATAACGAAGAAGACTGTCAAAAATGTCATATGGTTATCATGATTATAGATGTCTATCAATGATGAGATTTCATATTGATTTTACATTTATTATATATGTCCTATAAATATGCTTCATATTAAGTTCTAGCAACTAACTAAATTACTTTTGTTAAATTTAATATATAAACATTTTATTAAAAAGATATTTTTATCTAAAATAATGTTATTGAAATGATGATATTGTTATTAAAATATTATTAATATATTAATTAAAAAAAAGAGTGTTTTATTAAATATTTTTCTATCACGCTTAATATTTTAAAATTTTATAAAAAGAGATTTTTGTAAAAATAATTTTCAATTCGTTATCATTATACTTAATATTTATTTCGGACTGCCCCAATGACTAGACATGTTCCAATCCACTTCGGGAGCTTTGTCAGTTATGGACAAAGGAAAACATTTTTTATTCTGCCCCTCAGCCGAGGAGGGCTTGCCAGCTGACCTTAAGATCAATTACCGTTTGTCACATCTCTGTCCGTCACACACGGTTCAACCATCCAGGAACACCAGGACGCCCTTGCCCGTAACCATGTCTTTATTCAAAACAACGGCTAGTTTTGAGCATGTCTGTCTGCCCGTCTTAACGACTAATTTCTGACAGTTACCTATTCTTTGGAGCGAATATCTCGGCCCAAAAACAGAAAAACAGAAAGAGTGGTTAAACGCATGGGCATTATAAAAATCCTCTCCGTTAAGAGAATCAGGTATTCCAAAATCATTCTAAGACATCATTACTTCGTACTTGCCTTCTCATCTCCCGATTCTTAAAGTTTTTGTCCCACTTCAGGTTCTGATCAACTGAAAATATCAATATTAAAAATTTCAATCATTTTATTTTTTAAAACTCATAATAATTCAAAAAATGAGCTATGTAATTTGTATTAATTTTTGAATTAGTAATCACTATTGCAATGATTAAATTAAAATATTAGGAGTCTCGTTTTTGTTTAAAAATAATTTTAGAAAAAATAACTTTTCAAAATAAATTATAAAAAAATATATAATTATATATAATTTGAGACACAACGTTAAAATAGTTTTTTTTTTAAATCAAATTAATTTTATAAGATTTAAGATTTTTCAAAGAAAGTTATGACATGATTTTACTAAAATATTAGGAATATTAGTAAACAATCTATCTTCTCATTATTTTAAAATTAATATTATTTTCATATATTTTATTTTGAAATTTTATTTAGTTTCCACAAATATTTATAGTATAGATTATTTTAATTTGAAATAAAAATACGAACAAAAATGATATATGTTAGGAATTAAACTTGGTTGAAATTGCACGCCGATATAATGTGTCTCAAATTTTATATAATTGTATACCTTTTTTATAATTTATTTTGATAAGTAATATTTTCTAAATTTATTTTTAAAATCAAACGAGACTCCTAATATTTTAATTTAATCATTACAAGAGTGATTATTAATTCAAAAATTAACGCTAATTACATAGCTCTTTTTTTAATTATCATGAGTTTTAAAATAATAAATGATTGAAATTTTTAATATTAAGTATAATGATAACGAATTAAAAACTATTTTTACGAAATCTCTTTTTATAGAATTTTAAAATATTAAGTGTGATAGAAAAATATTTAATAAAACACTCTTTTTATAATTAATATATTAATAATATTTTAATAACAATATAATTATTTCAATAAAATTATTTTAGATAAAAATCTCTTTTTATAGAATGTTTATATATTAAGTTTAACAAAACTAATTCGATAAGGTGTTTCTTAGTGTGAAACTTTTAAATTTTAAATGTTAATTAAATCTTACGATTGATGTTGATAATTGTTTTTTTTTCATAATAGTTCTTACCGAATATGCGCGCTCTCTCTTTATATATATATATATATATATATATATATATATATATATATATATATATATATATATATATATATATATATTCTTTGATATATGAATAAAAATAAGAAAAACATGAAAATACATGGTTAAATTAAAAAACGCAAAATTGTATGGTCAATAATTCGCTACTACTCTATATCTAAGTATAAATATCTTTTGGAAGACTAGACATATATTTATTTTTTATAAAAAACTGGGCGTGATGTTTGGTTAAGTTTGATGCTTCGAGGAAGTTGTATTTAAATGCTACATGTGAAAATGATGGTTGTATTATATTATATATATAAGTTACATGAGTGAAATGAAATTCATCAACCAATTCCAATACAGAGAGAGAAAACATGGAAAGATATTTCAAGTGTGTTGTACTTTTGGTGTTTATTGTAATTGCACAAATGTGCTTGTGTGCTAATTCAAATGTCCCTTGCATAGAACAAGAGAGACAAGCCCTTCTTGATTTCAAAGCATCCATTTCACAAAATTCATCAAACAGACTTTCATCATGGAAAGGCACTCACTGTTGCCAATGGGATGGCATTCGCTGTCACAATGTTACTGGACATGTTCTCAAGCTTGACCTCAGGAATCCTTGTTACCTACCATCTTGGGTGCTACGAGAACGAGAAGTTTATCATTACTTTCGCTATGGTTTGTCATTAATTGCTCCAAATGTAAGCTCATCTTTGTTGCAATTGGAACACTTGACTTATTTGGACTTGAGTGGAAATGATTTCTGTGGGAGTTCAATTCCTATGTTCATTGGTTCCATGGAACACCTTGAATATCTCTCTCTCTCATGCTTCTTTTAGTGGGATGATTCCCAACAATCTTGGAAATCTCAAGAACTTACAATTTCTTGATCTCGGTATCAATTTATTGGAAATAAATAGGGACACCACTTGGATATCTAAACTTCATTCACTCAACCACCTTGACTTGACTTATGTCCGCCTCAATAACACACACAACTTGTTCCAGGTACTCAATTTACTTCCATCTTTACTGCATCTTTCTTTGTCTGACTGCCAACTTGACAATTCACTTATTTCTCGTCATGCTTTCCAAAACATGACATCTCTTGTCTATCTAGATTTATCATTGAATTCATTTCATGGTTCACTTCTTGAGTCTTTTCAAAACATGACATCCATTGATTTCCTTGACCTTTCTCAAAATGGTTTAACTTCAATTCCATCATGGTTTGTTGAGTTCAAGACACTTGTGTACCTTGATCTTAGTTGGAATCAACTCACACTTAATGAACACTTTCTATCATCAATCATAAATTCCTTATGCCACCTAAAAAAATTGAAGTTATCAAAAAACAAGCTTTACATAGAATTAATAGAACATTTCGATATATCTAAATGTATTACATATGATTTGCAATATTTGGATTTAGGGTATAATAATATTAGTGGCCACCTGCCAACTTGGTTGGAGAAACTTGAAAATCTAAAATACCTTGATTTTGCTTCAAATTTTTTCCATGGACCTATCCCTTTGTCAATAGGAAAGCTGTCAAAACTGCATGTGCTAAGTCTATCCAATAATAGGTTTGAAGGGTTTATTCCTGAAAATATAGGCCAACTTGTCAATTTAACCTACTTAGATCTTTCTTTTAATAAGTTTGATGATTCAATTCCTCAAAGCTTATGGAAACTTGCAAGTCTAAATTCTCTTGATCTTTCAAAAAATTCTTTCAAAGGACTCATTCATGACAATATAGGTCAACTTGTCAATTTAACTGACTTAGATCTTTCTTCTAATAAGTTTGATGGTTCACTTCCTCAAAGCCTATGGAAACTTGCAAATCTAAAGTATCTTGATCTTTCAGAAAATTCTTTTAATGGGATCATTCATGACAATATAGGTCAACTTGTCAATTTAACTGACTTAGATCTTTCTTCTAATAAGTTTGATGGTTCACTTCCTCAAAGCCTATGGAAACTTGCAAGTCTAGAGTCTCTTGATCTTTCAAACAATTCTTTTAATGGGGTCATTCCAAAAAGTCTTTGTCAACTTGTCAATTTGTATTATTTAGATATTTCTTCAAACATGTTGGATGGAATAGTGTCTATGGAAAAAGGATGTCTTTTAAATTTGTATCATTTGAATCTCTCCCACAATCAAATCAGCGGTCCACTTCCAAAAAATATTGGCCATATAATGTATCCGGGGGGATTGTTTCTAGGAAATAACAAGTTAAATGGTTCAATACCATTCTCTCTGTGTCAAAGCCAAATTGCCAACCTTGACCTTTCAAACAACAAATTGTCTGGTGAAATTCCAAACTGTTGGAAGGATAATCAAGAATTGAATGAGATAAATTTGTCATCCAACAAACTAACAGGAACATTCCCAAGCTCATTTGGTAATCTTTCCTCATTGTTTTGGTTGCATTTGAACAACAATAGCCTTCAAGGAGAGTTTCCTGTGTCTTTTGTAAACTTGAAGCAATTGTTGATTTTGGATATTGGTGATAATTATCTTTCTGGGAGTATTCCATCATCATGGACAACAAACACCTTTCCTTTACTACAAGTTCTTAAACTGCGACATAACATGTTCAGTGGTAGCGTTCCTTCACAACTATGCCAACTCAAATCGCTTAAAATTTTGGACATTTCGAGAAACAATTTACAGGGTTCAATACCTAAATGCATAGGAAACCTTGAAGGAATGAAATTGAGAAAAGTAACTACAAATGAGTTTCTTACAAAGGCTGATGCCAAATTATCTAATGCATCTTATCTTACAGAAGTGGTTAAAGGAGTGGAACGTGAGTATACTAAAATATTGAAGCTTGTAGTACATATGGACCTTTCAGAAAACAATTTGGTTGGATTCATTCCAAATGAAATCACATGGCTCACAGGACTGCATAGTTTGAATTTGTCAAATAATCAATTGGAAGGAGAGATTCCCCCATTGTTAGGAAATATGAAATCACTGGAATCATTGGACATGTCTCATAACCAACTTTCAGGCAAAATTCCTAGCACCATGTCTGCTTTAACTTCACTGAGTCATTTAAACTTGTCACACAATAATCTTTCAGGACCAATTCCCAAAGATAATCAGTTTTCAACTTTTAATGACCCTTCTATTTATGCTTACAATCCATACCTCTGTGTATCTCCACTTCCAAACATGTGCACTGGTGATGTTTTGCATGGAACTTCTGAAAGAAAAGGTAATGAAGATGAAGATGGGATAGAGAAAGTATGGTTCTACTTTGTGATAGCAGTCGGTTTTGGGTCTGGGTTTTGGGGAGTTATTTGGACTTTGTGGTTCAAGAAGAATTGGAGACATGCCTATTTCAGATGGGTGGAAGATGTTGTTGAGGATATATATGTGACAATTGTAGTCAAAATGGAAAAGATAAAGAAGAAGATGAAGAGAAACCATAGCCATGAGTGATTCTATGTCTATTTTTCTTGTTGGCTTATTTCTTTTCCTGAATGTTTCATGTCATATTAGAATGCCAAACTTTGTATTTTCTTTCTTCAGAATAAATTTTATCTTTAGTTGAAAAAAAGTAAGTGAGTTACTAAGTTTTCCTTTTGTTGTCTCCATATTCAACTCTTGTGTTATTCTTGTGACAATTAAACTACAAATAAAATTAGAGAAAATATCTAATCGTGTCACTTGAAATAAATAATTGTAGGGCAATAATAATATAATGTTAAATTTGTATTGTCAAATTGTTGAAAATGAAAGGCTTTAACTTTAGTGCTTGACTTGTCGTTTACTTCTTGTCTGATATGATGTTAATGTTTGTGAGGTTATTTAATTCAAAAGAATTGTTTATCACTGATCTGACCTGATCAGAAGAGATCACTGGATGGCCACGCTCCGTTGGGCTACTGCCTGTTCACCGGTGTTGAGGAGGAGGAGGGGGTGTACCTGCAAGGCACTCCAATGCCAAAGTGAGAAAATGGGCAGAGTGACAGCAAATACAGAAAGTTGGTTGAGAATTGAATACCTGCCCCTCTTGTGGAAGAGGGTATTTATAGGGAGACCCCAGTGCTGGGCCAACGGTCATTTTGAGGTGGACTGGATGGCCAGGCCCAACCCAAATGACTGCTAGGGCTTACGTGGCGTAGTGAAGACCGGAACGTGGTCTTCGCCCTAGTCCAACTGTCCCGTGATCTCCGGAAAGTGGTTTTGACCTGCTCTTTCGGAGGTGGGCAGTTGGGTGGTGACGTGTCCCCGCGGAGAGGAGCACGTGGAGAACGTGTGGAAGGCACGTTGTGCTGCGCGACGGGATGAGCACGGATTCTGCCCGACGGGATGGGCACAGGTTCTGCCCACGGGATGGGCGCCTGCCCGACGGGAGGAGGTTCTGCCCCACGGGATGGGCACAAGTTCTGCCCGACGGGATGGGCACAAGTTCTTCCCGACGGGAGGAGGTTCTGTCCCACGGGATGAGCACGGATTCTGCCCGACGGGATGGGCACAGGTTCTGCCCATGGGATGGGCACCTGCCCGACGGGAGGAGGTTCTGCCCCACGGGATGGGCACAAGTTCTGCCCGACGGGAGGAGGTTCTGCCCGACGGGATGGGCACAAGTTCTGCCCGACGGGAGGAGGTTCTGCCCCACGGGATGGGCACAAGTTCTGCCCCACGGGATGGGCACCTGCCCGACGGGAGGAGGTTCTGCCCGACGGGATGGGCACAAGTTCTGCCCGACGGGATGGGCACAAGTTCTGCCCGACGGGAGGAGGTTCTGCCCCACGGGATGAGCACGGATGCTGCCCGACGGGATGGGCACAGGTTCTGCCCACGGGATGGGCACCTGCCCGACGGGAGGAGGTTCTGCCCCCCGACGGGATGGGCACAGGTTCTGCCCACGGGATGGGCACCTGCCCGACGGGAGGAGGTTCTGCCCCACGGGATGGGCACAAGTTCTGCCCGACGGGATGGGCATAAGTTCTGCCCGACGGGAGGAGGTTCTGCCCCACGGGATGGGCACCTGCCCGACGGGAGGAGGTTCTGCCCAACGGGATGGGCACCTGCCCTGCTCGTCAGTGTGGTCCAATTGGGCCCAACCTTAGTGGGATTTGGGCCTTCTCGATTGTGGGCTAAGCCTCGGCCCAGTCCAGAACAGGAGCCCCCCAAGTCGTAGTTCGCTGTCAGGAGAGCTATGACTTAAGTAGATAATAGCGTCGGGCGCGCTGATATGTCGGGTAGGATGCGAGAATGGCGTCGGTTGTATCGATCATCTGGGCAGGGCGAAATTGCAGTCGTTCAACATCCAAAAATTTTCTGCTCGACACCTTCGATCATTTCTGCTCGACATCCGGGGTCGTCCCCGTTTATTATAACGTTTTGACTTCTGGACTTGTGTCCGTTTGATAATATAATTCAAGTGTGTGCTCGTTTTGTTTTTATGCCCGAAATATGTATGTTTATTTCGATGTGTGTCGCCCGTGGTGGGTCTACTTGGGGGTTTGCTCGACGTTCGTTGTTTCCGGCGGTGAGGAGAACCGGCCGGCCGACGGGTTTGATGACCTGTCTTTTCGGGGGTAGCTGTCCCCGTGGCGTGGACGTCCCATCGCGAGCTGGTGTCCTTCCCATTTTGGTACAATGACGACGGGAGGTCTCGGTCGAGGTGGTCTCCGTCGAGCAAAGCCTTCTGCCCGCGCACACAAAGGCAGGGTTTGCTGTTTTGTTGGCCCGCAGGAGGGCGCGAGGAGGTTCGGCGGTACCACGTCGCCCCCCTGTGGTCGCGACGATTGGGAGTCGCGGGCAGTGTTTAACTGTAGTATATATTTTTTTATAGCTTCTCAGCGTTCTATAGTCGAGCTATATGGTCCCCGTGTAAGTTTTTGAGGTAGTAGGTTTTCGAAGGGAGGACAAGGCTGGATGGCAGCCAGGGTCCTGCCCGGCAGAGTCTTCTGCCCGACGAAAGAGAGGACAAAGACTGGCTGGTGGGCAGCCAGGTTCCTGCCCATCAGAGTCTTTTGCTTGACATAAGGAGGACAAAGACTGGCTGGTGGGCAGCCAGGTTCCTGCCCATCAGAGTCTTCTGCTTGACAGAAGGAGGACAAAGACTGACTGGTGGGCAGCCAGGGTCCTGCCCATCGGAGTCTTCTGCTCGACGAAAGGAGGACAAAGACTGGCTGGTGGGCAGCCAGGGTCTTGCCCATCAGAGTCTTCTGCTCGTCAAAAGAGAGAACAAAGACTGGCTGGTGGGCAGCCAGGGTCCTGCCCATCGGAATCTTCTGCTCGACGAAAGGAGGACAAAGACTGGCTGGTGGGCATCCAGGGTCCTGCCCATCGGAGTCTTCTGCTCGACGAAAGGAGGACAAAGACTGGCTGGTGGGCATCCAGGGTCCTGCCCATCGGAGTCTTCTGCTCGACGAAAGGAGGACAAAAACTGGCTGGTGGGCAGCCAGGGTCTTGCCCATCAGAGTCTTCTGCTCGTCAAAGGAGAGAACAAAGACTGGCTGGTGGGCAGCCAGGGTCCTGCCCATCGGAGTCTTCTGCTCGACGAAAGGAGGACAAAGACTAGCTGGTGGGCAGCCAGGGTCCTGCCCATCGGAGTCTTCTGCTCGACGAAAGGAGGACAAAGACAGGCTGGTGGGCAGCGAGGGTCCTGCCCATCGGAGTCTTCTGCTCGACGAAAGGAGGACAAAGACTGGCTGGTGGGCAGCCAGGGTCCTGCCCATCGGAGTCTTCTGCTCGACGAAAGGAGGACAAAGACTGGCTGGTGGGCAGCCAGGGTCCTGCCCATCGGACTCTTCTGCTCGACGAAAGGAGGACAAACACTGGCTGGTGGGCAGCCAGGGTCCTGCCCATCGGACTCTTCTGCTCGACGAAAGGAGGACAAAGACTGGCTGGTGGGCAGCCAGGGTCCTGCCCATCGGAGTCTTCTGCTCGACGAAAGGAGGACAAAGACTGGCTGGTGGGCAGCCAGGGTCCTGCCCATCTGAGTCTTCTGCTCGACGAAAGGAGGACAAAGACTGGCTGGTGGGCAGCCAGGGTCCTGCCCATCGGAGTCTTCTGCTCGACGAAAGGAGGACAAAGACTGGCTGGTGGGAAGCCAGGGTCCTGCCTATCGGAGTCTTCTGCTCGACGAAAGGAGGACAAAGACTGGCTGGTGGGCAGCTAGGGTCCTGCCCATCGGAGTCTTCTGCTCGACGAAAGGAGGACAAAGACTGGCTGGTGGGCAGCCAGGGTCCTGCCCATCGGAGTCTTCTGCTCGACGAAAGGAGGACAAAGACTGGCTGGTGTGCAGCCAGGGTCCTGCCCATCAGAATCTTCTGCTCGACGAAAGGAGGACAAAGACTGGCTGGTGGGCAGCCAGGGTCCTGCCCATCGGAGTCTTCTGCTCGACGAAAGGAGTCCTGCCCATCGGAGTCTTCTGCTCGACGAAAGGAGGACAAATACTGGCTGGTGGGCAGCCAGGGTCCTGCCCATCGGAGTCTTCTGCTCGACGAAAGGAGGACAAAGACTGGCTGGTGGGCAGCCAGGGTCCTGCCCATCGGAGTCTTCTGCTCGACGAAAGGAGGACAAAGACTGGCTGGTGGGCAGCCAGGGTCCTGCCCATCGGAATCTTCTGCTCGACGAAAGGAGGACAAAGACTGGCTGGTGGGCAGCCAGGGTCCTGCCCATCGGAGTCTTCTGCTCGACGAAAGGATGACAAAGACTGGCTGGTGGGCAGCCAGGGTCCTGCCCATCGGAGTCTTCTGCTCGACGAAAGGAGGACAAAGACTGGCTGGTGGGCAGCCAGGGTCCTTCCCATCGGAGTCTTTTGCTCGACGAAAGGAGGACAAAGACTGGCTGGTGGGCAGCCAGGGTCCTGCCCATCGGAGTCTTCTGCTCCACGAAAGGAGGACAAAGACTGGCTGGTGGGCAGCCAGGGTCCTGCCCATCGGAGTCTTCTGCTCCACGAAGGGAGGACAGTTGTGAACAGCGTCGCCATGGCGGGGGGGCACTCATGATCTTGAAGTTTTGAGAGATGAAGCTTTGGTTCTCTGCTCGGAGGAACGGGGGAGCTTAGATTCCCACAGACGGCGCCACTGATCTGACCTGATCAGAAGGGATCACTGGATGGCCACGCTCCGTTGGGCTGCTGCCTGTTTACCAGTGTTGAGGAGGAGGAGGGGGTGTACCTGCAAGGCACTCCGATGCCAAAGTGAGAAAATGGGCAGAGTGACAGCAAATACAGAAAGTTGGTTGAGAATTGAATACCTGCCCCTCTTGTGGAAGAGGGTATTTATAGGGAGACCCCAGCGCTGGGCCAACGGTCATTTTGAGGTGGACTGGATGGCCAGGCCCAACCCAAATGACTGCTAGGGCTTACGTGGCGTAGTGAAGACCGGAACGTGGTCTTCGCCCTAGTCCAACTGTCCCGTGATCTCCGGAAAGTGGTTTTGACCTGCTCTTTCGGAGGTGGGCAGTTGGGTGGTGAC